TAAAGCTTGACTTGTATGTAAATATATGTTTACAGGCGTTTGTTTATTTGTAAACAAATAATTTTGAAAATCACTTTATCTTTTTGATTGCAATGTAAACGCCAGCGCTTTCGCATGAAAATCAGTTGACGATGTTATTGCAATTACCATTAATATATACACGGGGAACACTATTATATGGCTCAATAATTTTTAGCTTGCATGAAATAAAAAGTAAAATTTTGTAATATTTTTCGAAAAGACAGGTAGGCGATGAAGAAAAGAAACTAAATAAATTCCATTGTTGACGACGGGTGGTTATAATTTTTATAAGAAAAATGACTAAACTTTTTGAAAGCGCTTATCAGAAAACACTGACCATTACTTAGACGTGCACACTCATGCGCCATGCGCACAAACACTTTTCAAGTGTAATTTATCTTCATCAGATTATTTCCATTTAAATGAATGATGAAAACCGAAGATTTTGTGGCGTGTTAATTATAAAGATTTTTAGAAATGTTGTCGTCCGATAGCAGAAATACGTAGTTTTATATTTTTGTTGCTATTGTGTTTGTCACACTTAAATCAATGAATACAATACGATATATATATATATATAGAGGAATATGAGAAGATGTGAAGAAATGTTTTGTAAAAGTGCACTCCGTGTCATTAGATTTAATTTATTACAACTTGAACCGCCGCTTGTAGTACAAGAGTATATTAAGTTTGTGTGGATGTATGGAACATCCCCAAGGACTTGAATTAAATTTTACTCTTATTATATCGATCGACTCAGGATTGCTTTTTGGAATCGATTTAATATCGTCTGTCCGTCTGTCCATCTTGTTTTCTTTCTAGAGGCCGCAATTTCCCAAATATTTTGATGAAATTTAATACGCAGACCAAGGTCGTACACTACTGAAAATGATTCGGAATTGGCCCGCTTCCTATATAACGCCTTATTTTTTGAAAAATCTTTATGTGATAATTGTAAGGTGATATAAGATACTTAATGGTATAGCCTTTTTACTTGTTTCTATTTTGTCGTTTTTTTTTTTCAAAAAAGAGAAAACTAATTAACCTAATGCTTGTAATTTGTTATAAATAATTGAGACAAATTTGGCATGAAATGAAATTCCGAAATCTTAAAGAAAAAATCATCAATTAATCTATGTCTCTTGATAGTTCATTTCATGGAAAGTCAAGTAAAATGATTAGTAACAGAAAATTGAGTATTAGATATATTTCCTGTCTCGAAGACGTGGACGTTAATGAATAATCATCATTATAATGCATTTTAAATGTTTTCAAATTCATGATTATCATCCATATGCACATGATCATCAGACGACCATCGGACGACCACCAAGTGTCTGCTTCGCGTATAAATCGATGATAAATGTCATCTGTTTTAGTGATGTGGGCAGATATCAAATTCAAATTTTTTTTCAGTCATATTATGAAGACATCAGACCACATACTGAAGCAAAACACGTGAGATGCCTACACGTAAATTGAACGTGCTTAAAAAGAAAAAAAAAAATAATAAAAACAAAATATCACCACTTTCTCAATATATTACATAAGTGCCTATACAGTGCACATAACATATATAAACACACTTAACAGCTCCGCTATCCTTTGTTAATGCACTGATGACAATGAAAATGATGATGATGATAATAATATGATGATGATGATGACGATGATGAATACCTATGTCTCGTCTCATGACGTGTTAAGAGTGCGCCAATGTCATCTTCGAAATTGTTATTATAACATAAAACCATAATAAAGGCTACACTACAACAACCACAACAAATGTGGATTAAAAACTCTAAGCGTATGTTTAAATGCTTTTGCATATCTTCACTTTTTAACCGAGAGAAACTAAGAATAAAAAAAAAGATGTATTTAAAAAGTCCCACGATCATCTTACCTCGATGAACTAGTGCAACGACAACCAACCTCTTAATTTGACACATCACAAGATCAAGTGTCAGTTAAAAATTTTTTTTCTGCTAAAAAACTGAAAAATCTCTAAAAAAAATGATAATGAAATTTAAAGGAGAAAAAAATATGTTAAGTTCTTTCATACGTCTTTTGTAAACATGCAAAAGGGTAGATGTTATTTACTTTAAATTGACATGTGTAGCAAGTTTTTCACAACAAATATCATAACACTAACCACTAGCATCAAATATACGATCATTTCGTGATACTAAATGCTATATAAATTGTTTCCATGTTCGCTTATATGCTATGATACAATATTAGGAATCCTTTTGCTTAATATAATATATATAAATATTACTTGTTTAGTTGTTGTTTGGATAATCGAGTCAAGTTTTCAATCCTTTCGTTCAGTCCTAAACTATTGCAAACACGTAAAAATTTGGCCATCCCTAATAGTGAACATATTTAATTAAATTGTAAAGCATACGAAGCTTTAAAGACCAAAAACTAATTTTGATATGATATAGATATTGGATACATATATATATATATATAATTATAGATATGATTTGTATTTTTGTAAAGGAATCTGACCGAATTGAAAAGTTCCTGATAATGCTGAGCTTTATGAAAAGAAAATTTCTGGAAGTAAACAGTAAAGTTTATATCTCCTAATAAGGCCGGGGAGTTGATTCTATCATTTATTAAGTCGAATACGGAGGATTCCCTACTGCTAGAAAGGTTAAAAGTCGCAATCTATTTTCACAACATAATAAGGAGACTAACGGATCCCATCCCGAATTTTTAAATTTTATTTAATCTGTCTAGAATCTCATCTCCAGTCTAAGCAGTAAATGCCTTTCATACAAGATTTTCATCCAACTCATTTGGACCTATGACATACAAGCGGGAAGACCAGCCGGTAACTCTAATATTGAAGTACCTCAAAAATATCAATCTAAAAGTCGGCGTCTAATTTTTTTAGATAAATTGTAAATTAAGTATGTGTTAATAAAACAAAAAAAAAAAAAAAGGAATTTTGTTTTAAGGATCCCTTCTCAAGTAATTATACTGAATCAATATAACGTCTATGGAAAGGAGACCATACGTCCAAGGTACATTCTCGTATTAGATTCATCAAGCCTTTTTGTTACATATGGGTGCTCGATCTCTCTATATGAGCGTTTATTAAAGCCTGTCACTGTAGTGGTTAGCGGTATAGAACTCCTACATAATTGAACGAGTTGACTCTTTCCAATTTTTGCCAATCGATGAAATACTCAGTAAGTAGTAAATGAATTTCTCCTCGAAAATGACAACTTTGCTCAGCTGTCTAGGTTTAACGTCATGCACGATGCAACCACATTATGTACATCAGGTTGAAGGAGATAAGAGTACGACATCGACGATAAAGGAAGACAAAATCATTATGTCTCCAGCGAGGTTTAATCACGGAAGGCGGATCATTCCAAAGGGCTACTTCATGATACACTTGACGTTAAGAGAAATTCATCGGAAGTGCTGGTATTGAAAATAACTCTAAATGATCTATTATGAGGATATGAGCTTACCCACACTAAAAAGCGTGAAAGGAAATAGGAAGAGAGAAGTTTAAAAATCAGTTTTACTACTTTATAGAATTAGTTGTCTGGTCACCTCAACATACCGCATACAAATTTGAAAATAATAGAAGCGGATTGTTCGGTAGAGAATACTGCAAGCAGACTACTCCCGCTACTCTCAAGAGAGGCTTTTAATAGTGCTAATTACCTCAACCCCTCCATGAATAGTTCTTGAGCAATGATTTTGTACAGTGTATCAACTCACTAGCTCAAGCTACACAAAAACTTTACCGGTTCGCTTATTTTCTTAAGCTATTGTACTTACGTAGACGAACTCATAATCTTATGCACATATGAGCGTAAAATTAACGTGTGTGCTACGTACTCATTTAACATTATTAAGAGAGTAGCCAATCGTTTAGCGTCAGATTTGTAGTAAGGCTATAGAAAAGTCAGCATAACATAAACGTAAAGTAGCTGACTAAGGAAAAATTCCGTGGCATCTTTCTCAATAAAAGACTTGAGAGTCGAATCAGTTTGACAATACCAAGCCTATCAAAGCATACAGTGCTAGTTCATAAATAACTTAAAACAAATAAGAAAATTATAGCCGACGTAGTCGAATCTTTTATGCCCACCACCTTTGTAATAAGAATGTTTGAAAAAACAAAATGAAAAAACTAAGCTGTTAGACATTGTAACATTGGATGAGTGCCGCTGATTTTATCGATACGTGTGGCAGAGGTGCTCTTAGTTTATGTGGGGTGTTCTTTGACTGATTTGGGACATAATTTTTTTCAGATCTCGGCACGAATTCTCTGAATGAAGTAGCGCCGACGTCCAAACACGCCTGCAAAACTTATCTACATCCGGAAACGCCAGATGTTCGACATAAACATCCAAATGGTTTGATCAGGCGGATCGAATAATTTTATGGATCACAATGCATAGTACGAGGGAGAAAAGGCGAAAAACAATATGTTTGAGTTACAGTAAAGAAAACGCCACGAACTTTTTCTTCTTACTCGAATAAATTTAAACACATTTAAAAAAAACACTATAGAGCTCTTCTTCTACAACGCAGTCTGTAATGATCTCTCGTTTAAAATCATTTTAAAAGATTACATTTAAACTACTTACACTTCCTCTTTCTCGCAACAATCACACACAACTGTGTTCTTCTTGATGCAACGACTTTCAAACCCGAAGCATGCTACACAATTTCAATGCAGAAATTTACTAAAGGGAAGTGCAAAGTCTAGCGTTTAGCTTGCAACTTAGTCTGAGCGATCGCAAAAAAAAAAAGATAATAAGTTGCAAACGTTACAATGAACTTAAAGTGCGTGCCTCAAGTCATTCATCATGAATATTGTTTATAAAATTTAATATTTTAATGATGTCATTATAAATAAACTAAAACTATGTATGTATGTAGCGTTCTGCCTTACGATCACTGATAACCGTATCAATTTACTGGAAAAATTTTATTAAATAGTTTTGTTTCGAATTCATGGGAAACATAGTTGTTTTCGAATATACTTTAAATCATTTTGAAGTCACAATTCATTGAAGAAAGTAAAAAAAAAAACAAATAGTCAAAGCGTAATAAAATGCTTTATTTTAAACTTCATTTATTTGTGATAATTTTTGCAAATCTTCAGATTTTTCAAGTGCAAGCAGCGAATATATTTTGTTATTACGATACCCAGCGAATAACTGATGGTGAGAAAAACTTGAGCACAATTCAAAGAAGAAGAATTTTTCTTTCATTTTAAATATTATTATTATTATTATTATTATTATTCACATTATATAGTGAACGCTGCGATCAATTATTTAGAGCCGGCTCTACAGTTTTGCAATTTTCTTATATACGGTTACGCTGGCATTGATAGTGAGACTTATCAAGTGAAATCCTTGGATTACGGTCTCAATTATGATATATACCAAGCCATTACCTCATTAAAGCTTAAACACAATCATTTGAAAGTGTTGCTCTCGATTGGCGGCGATCGTGACAAAATCGACGACTTAGCCGAAGATAATAAATATTTAAAATTATTAGAGAATCTCTCGTCACGCAATGCCTTTATCAATAGCATTCAAAGTGTCATCAGAACGTATGGTTTTGATGGTTTGGATATGGCTTGGCAGTTCCCAAAGAATCCGCCAAAGCATGAATACACCGGTTTCCGAAAGTATTTGGATACGTTAACGAGTTGGTTTAGAAAAAGGCCAGTCATCGATGAGAATTCTGCTTTGCATAGAGAACAATATGTGTCTTTACTAAAGGAGTTAAGACAAAGCCTTAATCCGATGGGAGCGATAATGACGATGACAGTTTTACCTCACGTCAGTGCGGAAAGTAAATTTTTATTTTTTTGCAACATTTTTTGTAATATTTATAACTTTCAACTTTCTTTCGTCCTTAAAGTTTTCCTTGATGTAACGTCAATTGTAAATCATGTGGATTTTATAATTTTGGCCGCCTTCGATTATCTTACACCTTATCGTGATCCCACAATAGCCCATTACACTGCTCCCATTTATGCTGTAAGTGAACGCGATCCATCTCATAATATCAATTACGACGTACAGTACTGGCTTAATCACACCACGGCAACGAGTAAGTTGGTGTTGGGTATTCCGGCATATGGACGATCTTGGACAATGATTAAAAAATCTGGAATAACGGGTCATCCTCCGATAATAGCTGGTGGACCAGCAAGAGCTGGCCATCGTACCCTTACACCAGGTCTGCTTAGTTGGCCCGAGATTTGTGTCAAAATCCATCAGAATAAAGAGCTTGAAGGTGACGCGGCACGCTTTCGTAAAGTTAGTGATCCAACAAAACGTTTCGGAACATATGCTTATCGCTCGGTTGATGAGAACAATGAGCACGGTATATGGGTATCGTACGAAGAGCCAAAAACAGCGGCTAATAAAGCCGACTATGCTCGTGCGAGAAATTTAAGCGGTGTAGCTTTATTCGATCTATCTATGGACGATGTAACGGGCGAATGTGGCGAGGGAAATTATTCCATATTAAAAAGCATTCATAACATTTTTAAGAAGTTCAACTAAACAGCCTATCCTCTAAGGTTAGTTTATTATTTCTGTGGTCAGTGAAGTGGAGTAGAGAGGAGAGGAGAGGAGAGGAGAGAAGAAGATTAAAGAAGTGCGATTTGTAAAAGTTATTCAATCGTATTCCGCTTTATTTTTGATCATTTTTATTGGAAATCTTTTAAATAAATATCGCGTCGATGGCGCTGGTTCTACGTTATGCAATAAATATAATAAGAGTTTGTCTTTGAAAATCGGTCATGAGGCTTATCAACTGAATTAATTGGTTTACGGTCTAAACTATGATATTTACCAAGGCGTTACCCTTGGGAAAGGATTTGATTCTACCACTATGTAGGTACTATGCAATTGGCTTTGTGTGCACAACTTTCACTAATGCCCTTTAAGGCAAAGTCTATCTCCTGTCTGTTCAGATTTGACTTTTGAAAGAAACAATGTCTTTTTTGGAATCCCTTGAAGAGATTAGATTATCTGTTAACTAAATAATATTTTTATTAAGAACAAATCTTTATTTATTATTATTAGGGAAAAATTGTTTCTTAAGAAGAAAAAAAAAAAAACATAACAAAAAAGAATTAAGCGAAATTACAGCGAAAACCGCTTGAACTTTTATTGAAACAATGCAAGTAACAACGAATATATATGTAAAGTAAACTAAGGTTAAAGCAAAAGAAAAAAAATCACGATAAAAATAAACAACTGTTGTAAAATTTCAAATTAAAAACGTGATCTCGTCGCGAATTGAATTTTGATACCCTAAACTGTTTATAGAGCATAGCCTGCGGTATGGGGCAATGATGGATGGCAGAGAGATGGGGGTGATGGGAAATACAACTGAGGGCTGAAAGCAAACACAGTAAACACACGAAAATTACGAGCAGCGTTTCTCACATTGGCTTTATAAAAATTCAAACTCCAGTGCTAAAAAAAAAAAAAAAAAAAAAAACACCTCAAACACTTCCATGTGCATAAATAAAATGAGATAGCAAACGAAAGTAAAGCAAAAAAAAAAAAAAAAAAAAAAAAGGAAAAAATTACCAAAAGTAAGGGCTGAAAAAAAGACATGAATGCGTACAAAGTGAAAAATTGTGCGCCATTTTAAAGTTTGTTTGGTGTTATCTCTCCATTCACGTAATACAAACAAGTTATGGTTAAAATGCACAAAAAAAAAATAAATAAATAAATAAAATAAACAAGAAAAATAGCAAAAGAATTAAATTCGCAAAAAAGTTGCGAAACAGAAAAAAAGATATTCGCAACAACAACAATAACAACAATGGCATGGAGAATACTACTGGTATTCTAAAGAGAAAGTGCGGAATTGTGTAAACTTTCAACGCCATGTCTGGGCAGCTAGCGATACCGACAATTAAATATATTACAGCGACACTCGCACATTACGCGGCTTGAAAATGAATGTCCGTGGGAGTGAATTGTTTAGGAGGAAACGGATACATGAATAGGTGTAACATTTGCTTTTATTCCATTTACGGCCGTCACGGTGACAGGCATATAGTTCACTGTACAGTATAGTTGACATATAAATAGAGCTTTTTTGGCCTTTGGTTCTTCTTTTTTTTTTTTTTTTTGTAAGGATCTCTTGTTTTATTTATGTGCAAGATATTCATTTTCCTGAACTTTGAGATTTTTCACTTTTACACCCAAGATTTAAAAGCGAAAATAAAAATGTTTATATTTTGAAATGATTTACAAGAATTCTTAGCAAAAAAAAAAAAAAAAAAACAAAAAAAAATCGTTATTTATTTGTTCTTTTTAATCATTACAAGTGGTTTTAATCAGTAAGTTTTTTTTTTTCGAAAACATATTTAAAAAAACACATGAATTTCATTTTAATTTCTCAATATTGACTTTTGTTCTCCGTTTTTTGGTTTCTCTTTATGCGTAAATCATAAATCTTAAGACAAGAATTTTTTTAATTTGAAATGTATGACGGGTTTGGTTTGGTAAATCTCTCTCTCTCTCTCTCTCTCTCTCTCTCTCTCTCTCTCTCTCTCTCTCTTTCTTTCTTCTTTCCTCTGTGAGAAATGTTAACTTAAATATTTAGACAGTTTATGTCATTTGTTGGTCATTAAGTAAGACTTAATAATGATAACAGTTACTACAAAAGCAAATACAATAACAATAACCACAAAGTCAACAATTCCCACCTACCGTGAAACGAAACAAAAAATGATTCAGCAAATTTTTATGTTTAAGACCTGGGATCATCATACAACAACAATAATGAAAAGAACAACAATATACACGTATGTGTATCCATAAAGAAAGGCAGATAAAGCTTCTTAACCTCTTTGTTACGATTGTAATAAAATAGCTTATATACAATGGATTATTATAAATTTCAAGGAAAGTGGAAACGAATGAAATCATTTAAAACAGATATATGAAAGGCAAGCATCAGATTTCTTTATAATAAAAACAGACTCGATTAGTATTAATAATTAACTTCAATTAAGTTTCCAAAAGAGCTTCGACAAAAGCTTAAGTCAAGGTGAATCGAATTTATTTTAAAATAATAAAAGTCAAGTTAGTTGCACTCATATGTTCACATATTTCTTAACTTTATAGAATACGAACGCACAATATATCAAGGGGTTAAGGGTACAGTGCGTGAAATGTTTCTTGTATTTTGCAAAACCGTTTTCTTTATTTACAATGATACGAGCCGAGCGATTTTTAACTGAAATTTCAATTTTTATCCTTTAAAGTCTCAAAAAGTCAATAAATAAAATAATTTAAATAATAAAATTATCCAAAGAGCTGCAACAAGCCTTCGTATCTTGCCTTAAGCCGAGAATCCGAATGTACAGCTAAATTTCATTAGACTGCATAGCGGATGCAGATCCTTAATAGTAGTGAAATGTGATAGATGTCCTGTAAAGAGGATAGGAACGTGGGCAGACAATGGCACACAATTTATACAAAACTTCTTCGATTCTAGTATTACCGATTAGGGTTAGATGCATCCATTGCCTTCTCCAAAAAAAAAAAACTAATTCAGTATTTTTGACTTATGTATAAATCATTAATTATGCGCATGTATATAAAGTTACCTTAATAATGATGAAAAAATTCCATTTCTTAATTTTAAAAAAAAAAAAAAAAAATATTACAAAAATTTTATAAATTAACATCATTAAATAAACACTTTTTAATTGATGATGATGACGATGGTTACAAATGAGACGACGAAGAAAAACTGTTTTTTTTTTTTTTATTTTCTTACTACACAATGGGAATAATACACTTAAGCACATATTTGTGCGCATATTTCAGCCCAACCTGGTACATAATTAATTTTTATATATCGCTGCTACTGTGCTATTCTATGTTGTCCCTGGTGACCATTTGAAAGTCGATATACTCGCTTGCTTATGCTGACAGTACTAGTAGTAGTAGTAGTAGTAGTAATAGTAGTAGTCGCTATATCTCATTTATAGTTGCAGTTGTTCATTTTAAACGCATTTTTCAGTGAGCTCTGCAAGATAAATTCCAAGGAATCCCTTTAACAGCTAAATTAATTAAACAAATAAAAATACTATACATATCTATATATATATATGTGTATAGTTGCAGAGATATTTAATATTAGGAAAGGGTAAAGGAAAGGGAAAGGGAAGAATTAATGAATGTTCACTCAAACTCAATTTCAAATTGTTAGTTAGCTGATCACTTTTAATGATCGTTATCTTCTGATAAAGTCACAAAACTCATTAGGAACGCATACAAGCCGTTCGACACAAAACTATTTTCTGCTAAAACTTAATTAACGCAAAATAGTACTAATCCTTCTCTCTCTCTCTCTCTCTCTCGCTCTTTTCTCTCTCTTTCTCTTTCTTGCCCTTTTTACCCCCTTTGCTATCTCTTCTATCATTATCAGGTCATCAGGAGACCACACACAGTCTAAAGTTGGAATATGAATTAATGGTTTTTTTGATTTTAATCTTCAAAAAAAAAAAAAAAAAAATTATTATAATTATAAATAATAAATAATAAAAAAAATCACACTTTTTTTTGAAATATTCCATTCTCCATAGGGAGATCTAACGGACATGTTTTCTGAAATGTATAAAAATTCTTCTTCTTAATTTGTATTCTGTGTTTCCAATTGAAAATTGCTGCATTAACATATCAATCACTTCACAGGCGGTTAAAATTAATGATAAACAATATATCTAACTGTGCGCATTGTGGATGCGTTTATCAATAACGAAAAGTAATAATAAAACGAAAGACACAAATTAATATACATTTTCTATTTTGCATCGCATTTTCCAATGCATTAAAGGAAACATTGAAATGACGATTCGAACATAGTTTTAAAGGAGATAGAGGCAATTTAATGTAGTTTGAAATATTTGCTTATCTTGCTTAGATCCAATCTCTTGATATGCAGTAAAAAGCACTGGCCGTTTATGCGGGGATAACATAAGTTAATCGAAATAGAAAAATTGGTAAAAATAACTAAAATTTGACGCATTTATCTTTGATGGTTGGGGCGGTTGCATCTGCTATAGTGAAAATTGGTTAATGCACTCTCTATGATGAATGTATTTAAGGATTTCCACTGCATTTGAAATTCTGGAAAATTATCTTGAAAATTCATCCATTGTTCTAAAGCATGTCTCTTGGGTTATTTATCTTTTAACATGCTCCTTCGATTGTTTCGAGACTATAGGCGTAAATGTATTTGTAATATCAAAAAAATTGAAAATACTGTTATTAGCAAAACCGATAGTGACATGAAGAAACAAAAAGTAAGAAAATGATATCCGGTCAAGACCAAAAACAGTAAAAGAACTGAATTTTAATGCTCTTTAATATGAAGTGGACGCGGGTGATTTTTCTATTTGCAAAATAAAACTTTTTATCGCATGGGCCTCTAGGCGTTGTAAGCGTGCCCCTTAAAAAGTTTAGGTGACTTTGAAACTTTTTCGCTGACAATATTTTCATTTTCACTAACAGAAGAATGATTACTACAGATGCTACGCAGTTGGGGTGACAGACAGGTGGACACACAAACCGTCGGACATACTTAGTTGCATTCCAAATTTGAAATTGGTCAAGAATTTATATAGGGTTTCTAAGGCTTGTTTCTGCACGTCGTAAAGGTATTAAAAAAAAAGTAATTTTTGTTACACTATAAGATTAGGTAGGTGTGGTCTATTTTTTCTATTTTTCTTCAGGTGCTACAGTATCAGTATCGCCCAATTACTGTACATTTATCTACTATAGTTTATGTGTGGTGAGCAAAAATCCAATTTCTTATTGCTTTCGAAAAACAAAGATGTGGCACTGTATAGACCTATCCTTCGACCGACATGGCCCATTTTCAATGCCAACTTCCCGGAAGAAGTTTATATGTTTCTGCCGAATTTGAAGCTAATAGCTTCACTTTTGCATCCAGGAGAGCGTTTATTACAGAAATTGCATACATGGACAGACGGACATATTTAGATCAATTTAGAATTTGATGCTGATCAAAACTATGTATACTTTGTGGGATCTCTAATGTGTC